CGCTCGCACATGTGTACACTTTTTTTCGATGTAGAGTCACCTCCTAAAGTTTTACTAAAAACGGTGACCTCCATATCGTAGCTTCCTCTTGTTAGTCTTATAGATATTTTGCACAAAATACATGGCTCGAAACAATCAGGAGATAGCTTTTTTATAAATGCCTTATTTAGCAGGTATTGGGTGAGTGCAAAAGTTCGTGCGGAGTTTGTGAGTAAAAGTCACACAGTGATTAGGCAAACAAAAATCTTTATTCAATCAATGGTATATTCTCCATCGTTTTCTATAATCTTTTCCCAACGTTCTGGCAGCATACGGATGCCTCGATCATAAAAACTGCGCGGTTTAGATTCGAAGAACGAAGAGACGCCGTTTTTTAAGGCCTCCAAAGAGTCAAAGTTTTTTCCATTTAAATAATTTTGCAATGACCGGAACAAGTGATAGTCAGATGGTGCGATATCAGGAGAATAGTGGATGCGTTAAGACATCCCATTTCAGGCTCTTCAGTTTGCGCAGCGTCTTTTTCGAAACGTGTGGTCTGGCGTTGTCGTGATGAAAGACGACTCCCTTGCGATTTGACAAAATCGGACGTTTCTCTTTTATTTCTCGATTCAGATTGATTAATTGGCGACAGTATTTGTCCGAATCAATCGTTTCGCCAGCGGGGAGAAGCTCGAAATAGATTATGCCCTTGCAATCCCACCAAACAGAGAGCATCACCTTCATCGGGTGCAAACTGGCCTTTGGCATTGCGTCACCATGCTCACCTGATTGTTTCCATGTCCGTTTGCGCTGAACATTGTTGTAGAGGACCCATTTCTCATCGCCCGTCACTAGTCGATCCAAAAACGACTCGTTATTGAGCCGCCCGAGTAAAGAAACGGCTGCAGAAATTCGTTTGATTTTGTTCTTCTCGGTCAGCAAATGGGGCACCCATATATCGAGCTTCAAATCGAATCCCATCTTTTTTAAACACCGAAAAGCGGTTGATCGGTCAACGTTTAGTGCTGTAGCAACTTCTTCTGTTGAAATTCGCGGATTATTGAGCACTAAAGTACGCAAAACATCGTCATCAATGTCAGAAGGTCGACCAGAGCGTGGCTCGTCTTCAAGGTTAAATTCTCCGCGCCGAAATTTAGCAAACCATTATTCCACAGTTCGTTTAGCTGGTGCTTCATCCTGATAAACATCCTGAATGTTTTTTACGGCTGCGGCAACGTTTATTCCCTTCCGAAACTCGTAAAGCATAACATGCCGTAAATGCACCTTATCGATACTCATTTTTAAAGTGATATTTCTCGAAGCAGTTTGTATGAAAACAAATGATTTTTTTTTTAATAACAGCTGAAGGCGTCACCTTTCCAACGTTATATAATATGTAGATGGAAGTATTAATGACAACACTTTACGACGCTTATAACTCCATCTATTGAAACTCCGCACGAACTTTTGCACTCACCCAATACAAGAATTGTACGTTTAATGTATTTTTAATCTTTTAATATTAAACAAGAGTGCATATAAAAGTTGTGAATAAGTATTATCTCTGATATAAGACGTAAAAGATATTTTTGATGAAATTATTTACATAACGCGTACCCCGGATTGTCTCAAGCGATGTAAAAATGTGCATCAATATTGCGTCGCTAAACTCAAAAATCATGCGTAAATCACGCGCAGATTTCACGATACCGTTGCGATCATCAATTTTCAGAATTTTTTTATACGCGACGGACTATAGAGTCGTTTTGATTGACGTCCTCATTAAATTCGAGATGTACATTCGTTTTTCGAAATATTAGGATCATTTATACACAATGGATTATAAAGTCATCTTAGTTGACGTCATCGCTAAATTCAATACGTACATTAGTTTTTTTTTTTTTAAATTGGGAATCACGGGACGAAAACTTTGTTTTGTCCGTGGGACGCGAGATATTTTTTCCAGTTCCCATTGATACACAAGCCGAAACTATGAATCTAAGTTTATATTCACGACAGCTTTGATAATCTAACATTCTAATCAACATTCTATTCTAATAATTCGTTAACCTTTTTTTTCACTTCTGTTTATTTCCTTTTTTGCTATATTTGCCTCTGTTTACTTTCTGATATCTCGCGATTTTCCGTTGATCTTGCAAGTTTAAAGGAAATTGAAAGTTAGAACGAAAAAAAAGCATAATCTGCGGTTCGCGATTCGCGACTCGCGAGTGTATTGTTCGAGCGCCGGAGTTTACCATATACTCTTCGTTAAATCGTTAAGCGCCGTCGAAGTTATCGCGAGCGGTCGCGAGTGCGATGCAGCGCAGTGCAGTGAAATGAAGCGAAGCGAAGTGCAATCGACGTGGAATAACGGCCGAATGCTGAGGAGGCCGGACGAATGCGGAGTGATACGAGCGGGACGCAACGGAGAATTTCACCGGTGGACCTGGACGTCGTTGAATATCAACGTGCGATGAACGTGAGTGACCAACTTCAACGCTCACGAAGCGTCATCCTCCATAGTGCATGTGTACACGTAAATCGCATTGATCTCCGGCGACATAGAGTAAGGGCAATTGTTATAACGCTGTTTGAGTTCACAAAGACTCGCATAATTTCACATCCTAGCCCGAAGCGTAATATCTCAACAGCATGTTTTTGCGCTTGATCAACGTCGGTCGAACTTAGACGCGAGTCGGATAATTTGCTTGTGACAGCGGAAATTTATCATCGGTCATTCAACAGAAACCCAATAAAGCACAATTTTCCTCGCGTGTTTAATCATAAATTTAAGAAAGACGAGTGTCTAGTCTGATTTAGTTTTTTTGAGAGTAACACGATATAGTCACGTATCAGTGTTTGGAAAAGATTTTAGACATGCTAGCGAAAAGGGGTAATCAATAAGTAACAAAGGTCGTAAATTAAAATTTACGTATCTACAGTCTCTGGCGTCAGACGACCGATCTTAGAAGCTTTTTTCACCGTGTGCTAAAGGTATCTCCACGAGAATAAATCTTAGAGAAATCTCGTAGAGAATATCTTCTCTACGATCCTACCTATCGGGATAACTATTCCCACCGTCAGCGCGATATGCCATTTTATTGTACGCAGAGCGAAGAACAAGGGGGCATGCATATATATATATATATACGTATGTATAAATAAATATACAATATACATATATATATATATGTATATCTGATAACTCACATGTGCGAATTTATACACGAACGTGCGCGAAAGGGACGGAGCAGCGTGGCTGCTTGATATGCGGCACAACGCCCGGCTTGACTGACGCCTCAGAGTTGCGAATAAAATTTTCATGAATTTCTATTAACTCCGTTTTTCTGGACGTGCCCCGGAGACTTAAAAAAGTTCTGTCAGCTGACGTCCCGCGGAGAGGGAAAGCCGTTTCCTCTCGTTTTTTCCAGAGCGTTGGATCAAGCTCGCGATGGGGTTGAAGCGATCGTTAAACGAATCGGTGATTCATCAAATGGGATCGTTTCGTTCGCGCGAGATATCTGATTCCGCGAAGAAAATGTCTGATAAAATAGTTCGATTATTAAAGCGAACGAATATCAATAGAAGTGTTGAACTATACCAAACGGTAAAGTCGCTGAATCTTTACACGACTGGAACAGATACGCGAAAATTTTTGTTTCGTTCGAGGAGATATCGTAAATTTCGATCGACTCCGTATTTAGCTAAACTGCGGAAATGAAGAGTGTATTCTTGCTTCGAAAAACACATTATCCTCGTTAAGAAGTAACGCGGAAGGCGCACTCGATATGCGATGCTTTTTAATCTGATTTGACGTTTATGAGCGAGCCGTCTATTTTTAATGCTCCTCGCTAATGTGTTTGCCACTATTTTCGGTCCTTTGCATTTCGTCCTGTTAATATAATACCGCAGGACTATTAGCCATTCCTCTGCGAATTTAACTCGCGGGATTCAATCCCGTGAGCTTCATTAGAAGTCGAATGATAACAAGTTTGGTCTATCGTACAGGCAAAAAAGGCGGAAGGGAAGGGAAGATCGTGGCATATCGCGGCGGAGGAGGGGAAGCAGCGGAAACCGCGTTCGAGACTTCCCGATCTTCGATCCCGAAATTCCTGACGGTAGACACAGGAATTGCGAGCTTGCAGAAAGTTTGCGCGGTCGTCTCACAACCCACCACCAAAATTCGGAACCCCGCAGAGCGAGGGCTTAGCCGCTGCTCCAAGTTTCACTTTAATCCCAAAAAGCCACAGTAGGCCGGCACAATTGATTCCGCCGGAGTTCCGCTATACTGTCTGGGTATGCGTTCCGAGGATACCCGCGAGGTCACCGCGACAATTTATGTGCTACCTTGTAACCCCTTACCGTTTCGTATCGCTCAGTTACGCGAAACGCGAGTGTCGGTAAACTTTCGCGCATCAAACGCCGTACGTCACATCGGCGCGAGAGCTTTACAAAATCGCCGTGGCTACAAAAGCTCACAACGTCGCGCAACTCTTCTCTCATTTGCTCATCGCTTTTGCACCGCTCTTAACACCGCCTTGAAACTCGCGTAATATTTCAATCAACATCGTGCAATCGTAACGTCGTAACGTCAGGGTGCGACAAACAGTCAAGCCGTTTACGTAAGTAAATCAATCGTCGCGGCGAGCGCGTGCGTCATAAATGGTGAAATTCTGCAGTTCTCTAGGAAAAAAAAAAAAGCAACAATGAATTCCCGGTTCGCAAGAAAGTTGAATCACGCGGTGTTGTCTTTCCGCGATTCGAGAGAATACGCCGAGCGGACGCGTACGTCGGGAACGTCACGCGCGCGGCCGCGGATTACCGCTCCATTTTAATACGTGCAACGTCTGCATATAGAAATTCGCGTAATTCCGGCACGACGACGGTAAACGCGCGGTCACGCGATAAGCTCTGCCGCATGCTGGATTAATCATTTCGTGCCGACGGGTGGGCAACGTGGGAAGGCGGGGGGAGACTGAGCAACACAGAGGGGGGGACTATATCATTCCGACCACACCTACCTGAACGCGACTTTCCGTGAGGCCGATCCTTAGAGCGATTTCCTCTCTTAGGAAGATGTCCGGATAGTGAGTTTTGCCGAAACACCTTTCCAGCTCGTTGAGCTGTGCCGGTGTGAACCGCGTCCGATGTCGCTTTTGCTTCGCAGGCTTGTCATCACCTTGCCCGATCACCGCTGCGCTCCCTAGAACGCGCAACAACCGTCGGATAACGTAAACGAAATAACATTGCAATTGCAAAGATCGACCTTCTGCGACATACGTTATCCTTTAATCCGCAATGTTAAGGGGCTATTGGTTAAAAGACACGATTGTTATTATCTTACTGTTATATTAATATGTATTATCGCACAAAGTATTTTCCATCGCTCTAAGTGTTCAACAATCAAGATTATCCACGTGCAAAGTTCAGTCATTGCGATTACAGTTTAACGTATGTACGTCGAAGGAATTCGGCTCGAGAAGTAGTAGCCAGCTGATTGCGGTAAATATAAAAAGAGCGTTGGTAAAAACATGCGGTGAATTTCTCGATGTAAACGGCCGAAACGCTACGCGTCCCTTGAAACGATCCCGAGGAGAAATCCGAGGCGTCGTCCGCGTGAACTTTTTCAGGGAAATGGTTCCCGATCTTCTAACTCGCGATGCAAATATCGCGCAATCCATTCTGAGAATATCCCGCGCGCTTATCACGGCTGCTCACCCAGGATTCATAGAAGATCGATGCGACTTATTTTCACATTCGCCATCGTCATTCTCCCATTCACTTAATGAATAAATATAATCCAAATGTATGTGTGTGTGATTATGTGTGTGTGTGTGTGTGTATGTGTGTGTGTGCGCGCGCGCGTGTGTGTGTGTGTATATATATGCACGTATAAATTCGGGCGCGATTATCTATACTTATCTCACTTCAAGCCATTCATAACCAGTTCACGACGACGCTACCTCACATCGTAATGCAAATGAGAGACGCGAACGAAAAACAAAACAATCAAATTCTTAACTTCTTTCTCATCCCGCCGTTGTAAATTTGTAACCACCTCGCGATGCACACTTTTCTGTTGTGGAAATATTTTCCGAACACGAATATAGCAGACACTCGCGGACAGGCTCGTTCATAAGTCCTTGGATCGAGGGTTAAAGTTCGCGACTCGCGCCAGCCATTCAATCTCTCTCTCTCTCTCTCTCTCTCTCTCTCTCTCTCTCTCTCTCTCACTTTCTACGTGCGCGCGATTGATTCATCGACTAACGAAGCCGGACGTTTCTCAAATGCTAGCTTACCTGCGCCGGGCATAGTCATGATCAATTCCTGATGAAGTGCGAGGCCACCACCCGCAGACAGACTGGAGCCCAAATTCACACCCAGCACTCCGTGCTCCTTCTCGTACCGCTTCAAATCCGGCGCATCCTTCACTCCTGCGAGCACCAGGCAGCAGGGAGGATAAGAAGCGGAAAAAGAGAAAGAAAATACGAGCCGCTTCAGTTCTCTTCCGATACGTTTCTTTCTTTTTTTCTCGCTTTCTGCCTGTCTCTCTACTCTACTCTACTCTCTCTTATTCCCTTCACTTTTTCTTCGCCGGGCTTCCTCGTGCTCCACGCACATCTCCCCACACGCGTCCGCTCTACGTAGTTTAAATTTGTATAGGAGCAGAAGCTGGCCGAGGGGCGTACGGATCACTTAGCGAGGAGGTGCGAGAATCGTCACCGTACTTCGGCTTCTAGGCGAGCAAACACATGTCTCGATTTTCCACATGCACACGTACACACGCAGATATACACTTACACGGTCACATGAGCACATATGCATGATGTGTGTGGATGTGATTGTATGTGTATGTAGCCTCATGTGCACATGTATGTATAACTTTGCGTGTGTATATGTGAATGTTGAACTCGCACGTGTGTGTGTATGTTGCGAAGGGTCGCCATGTCAGACCAACATCCACATTTCTCGGACCGTGTGCCTGATCGCGGCGGTATCGCACGTCGTTGTGCATTGTCGAAGGTGCTTACGTAATGAGGTAAACTAGTTTAGTCAGGTAGACCCGTTCGCGACGCAGAAGATGCGTCTGCTTGTCGCGAGCGAGCGAGAAGAGGAGTGCCGATAAAAAAAAATGTCTGCCCGCCTACGCTCCGAGAATCGCCCTATTCGTGCGAGATACAGGCGAATGTAAAAAAGTTTGAAACGACGAGACGGCTTATCTAAAACTGCCGTTTGTTAGACGCGCGCATTTGCAAGCACGAGGAATTTCATATAAAGTTGAGCGCTCGGCGCAAAAGCTCCCGCCGCGCCGATCGCACGGAGGTATTTTCAATTTCTACGATTGTGAATTTCGACGAGCCAACGTCGAATTCTCCGGTGAGACGCGCGCTGTTATTTCCCATCAAATTAGATAAATTGAATGAAAAAAGTTTCCGAGAAGTCCGTTCGTTTTGCAAGGTGTGCTCGAAAGCATTTGTTATTTCTCGACCGTTCTCTATTTAATCTACTTGATTGCGTTAATTATTAACAATAAACGAGCGCAGAGGCTAAATATCGTACAATTATGTCCATATGCAACATAATTGATGAAGTTAAAATTTTTATTTGTTCCATTCGCTCGTAATTACGGAGCCGTACAAATCCCCAGAATCGATACCGAATTATCGGACCACCGTGTAGCGAGGCTTCGCCGCTGAACGGAATACCCGGTATGAATGAACTTTTTACGACAGGTCTTTATTCGTGTTTTAGTTTTACAGGCCCTGATGATTTTATTTGGATTTTAGTGACGTAGTAGCGACGGTGTCTACGGGTCCCTTTTATACTGCTAGATTTCGGTGAGAGTTCCTTTGATGTGTTCGTCGCGTATCCCTCCTTCTCCCCCTCGCCCCTTACGCCCCTTACGATGGCGAACTTTGTCTCATCGCACAGGAAAACTCGAAAAGTGGCTCGTATGCGATGTCGCGCGCAACTCAACTTATACCAGCTAATGGAAAAGGAACAATTCGCCCCGCCGATGCGTTTACCGTCCTCGCGCGTAATTACAGCCGCATTACTTCGAGGCCGTACCTTCCTTCTTCTTGTTAATGACTGAGAATGATTATTTAATCCCGCATTAATTGACCGGATTATCGGAAGTCTTAATCAAATTAAGACGGTAATTACTAAAGGATCGCTCCCGCGACGTGCAGCTAATTGTCCGTTCCGCGCGCGTGTATTTTTTCCTTTCCCTCTCCTTCTCTCACTCTCTCTCTCTCTCTCTCTCTCTCTCTCTCTCTCTCTCTCTCTCTCTCTCTCTGTGTGTGTGTGTGTGTATGTGTTACTCTCTCATCTAATATAGCGACGTAACTACTCGCCGCCAATTCGGTTCGATTCCGCAGTAATTCAGGATACGCGAGGAGGTGGCTGCGGCGACGGCAAAAAAAAAGAGGAAGAAATTTTGATAACACTCGGCCGCGTATTTATCGGCGTTCGAAAACTTCGTGATTGACAGTCCGCCACGCGCAGAAACGTCTGAATAATAAAGTCATAAATCACATTACTATCCGGAAATGTCGTGACAGACGTATTTATTCGCGTGTCACGAGCGCTCACGAGCGGCGGCGCCCGCCTTGTCTCAATGGATGGCACCGATGCGCACCAAATGCAATTAACGTATATCATAAAAAATTTTAACGGACGCGCACTTGAAGCGAGGCCGACGCGAAATTGTGTGCGCGGGTTCGAACGCGCGACCGCGCTCACCCGTTTCCGACGGCGGAACTTCGCATTTTCAATATCGCACTGCTTGAAGGGAGATAATTGAAGGCGGCGGTGGTCTCTCTTCGCGCGGTTGCCGATTGATCAGCCGTTATGTATATGTTTAATCGCATTCGACGGAAGATGGATCAGCGCGACTTATTAGCGCGATTAGCGATTAGCGCGACGAGAAGCTTGCGAGATTCATCGTAAGCGTTCGCGTGAACTCGCCCGTAATCACGTGCGAGCGCTGCGTGATCGACGCGAAACTTTGGGCAAAATCCCTCGCGTCGAAGGAGGGATTTCTTCAAATTATTTCAAAGTAAATCCCGCAAACCGCTTTAAAGGTTGAGTCTGTCCGACGATTGCGAGGGCGTTTTATCTAACAAGACCAAACGAAAGACGATGTTACAAGTTGCGAAAGATGACACGAGGATTTTTCAGAGATACGAACGGCCGGCCGGAAACGTTGCGAGACGCTGCCGCGGTCGGTCGCGACGAAAAGACACGAAGAATCGCGCGCGTGATCCTCTGGAGCCGTGTTAACGCGTGCGCCCAGTTCTTGTTTCACCCTGCAATATTCTGACTCTCTAAATCGTTCCTCAACTTCCCGCGTAATGTAATCAGTGTTGAGGTAATTAAGATCATCAAACTCGAGAAGCGGCTTTCTTGAGACCGAGGAGAAGCAAGACGCGCGTGCGTCACGTGTTGTTACCGACGCAACAACACGCTATTTTCTCCGCACGATTGTCTACTCTTAGTCTGTCCTTAGTGTGGATTTTTTTACTCCACTGACCTTTGGGAGAATTGAAATAGTCGCGTGAAGAGAGAGAAAAAGGATATTCCATATTCTGCAGCTCTGTTGGATACGATAATACGCGACGCGCGTCAGAAGTACATGTATCGTACATGGTATAAAAATCGAGCAACTCGTTAATTATCCAGACATAATCATTGTCTTATAATTAGGTTAGACATTTTACGGAAGTTTTGCGAATGTCGCCCCGCTTGCCGAAGGTGCGAAAAAATGCATCTCCTCTTGAACGAACACGAGAGAACGTTGATTGAAATGATCATTATTTTATAGCGAAAAACACAATATTAATTTGAATCCGCAGCCATTCGGTAAGATTATATTCATAGTGGATTAGCCGGGCGAAAGAGTCCCTACGCCAACCGGCGGACGATGGAAATCAAATTGATCAAGCATGGAATTCGCGAACTCGCACTCGGCAAATTTATATTTTATTGATAAGCATAATAAAAAATGTGGATTTATTGCGACACGCTCAGTAACAAAGCCGCATTAAAAAAAAATACCGCTTCGCGAAATTTCCCGATTGGTAGCATTTCAAACAAACGTCGCGAAGCCTAGTGCTCGCGTTTTTGGTAATAATTATTCGCCGGCCGCTCACAATAGGGCTGCTATTTATTTTATTAATTCGCACATTTCGCGCAGAAAGCGATCACAAGCTTCGCGAAGAACCTCGCCAGCGTCGCTAACGCTCGAGCCGCAGGTTTTTGCGCGCATTGTTTTCAGCACGATTATCGTCTCGCGATGATAAAAAAAGAGGAATTGACATTTCCCTTTGGGCGCTCGGCGTCGATGCCGGACGCTGCATCTTGTTCAATCTCGAATAAATAATTGTTCGTTCTTATACAGTGGTATCCGAAACCTGAAACGGAAATTTCAAACGATTCTTTAGCTCGCTGTTCGATTAATGAACGAATTTACGAAATTACTTTCGAGAAGCTTGTGGTACGCTGGCACAACAAGACGCAACGCCGAGGTAAGGATTAACGTCCGGGAAACGCTGGGTTTGGAATTCTGCAGCGAGTAAACGCGGCGACTAGCTCGCACTATAAAAACCGCGAAGAAACGTGCTTCTTATGGGACACCTGATGCTTGACAATGCTACTCGGCTCGTAGCTCTTTAAATCCAAGATTGAGGATATCAAACGGCAGAGTTAGCGCTGATTCCGCATTGATATTATGCCGTCGCATTTCTCACCCCCGTTGCACGCTCGTTCGAATATGCGGGACCGAGCTGAACTCGCGAAAGTTGTCGACGTCGTTTTAGCGTTTGTTTCGGGAATTACGGAAACGTTGTGACGTGATTGTGTAATAATACGAAGCGCACCAACGGATGAATGAATTGAAGATATCCTCGTTACGGCAACATTGATCGTGATTAAAGGACGTTATACTACTATTCGATCCGATAGCTTCTCGCAGTCTGTAATTTAGAGAATATAACTCGACGATTCGATCGTCTTCCAGCGTGTGGACGATGGAGCTCGCGTTGAAGGTGATCAAGTGTGCAAGTGCCAGCTCGTCCGATCTCGCAATCCGATCAAATCGCGCTCGACACCTTCTTCACGCCAATCTTCTTTAAGTATCAGTTAGAAATACACGACGGGATATACAAAAATGACCAGTGCAAAGTTGAACGCGCGGCGTGCGCGATGGCGACAGCAGACAGAGCATCAGTAGCTACCGTGACTCGAGGAAAGCCCTCGTCGAGAAAGCGCTCGCGCAAGTATGTTTGTATTATCTGCGCGTATCGTTGAGGTAACAATCTAAAAATCACACCGAGGACAGCCGCACAATAAGAGATATTTGGTAGGTCCGAGTGTGTAAGTGTATATGTGTGCAGTCAAGAAGGGTGAAGGGTGACAGAATCCACTCGCAACCGACGCTCGCGCTTTGGGTTTACCATGTTTCGCTGCCAATCCAAGAAATAACGAAATACAGGCTGTTTATTTAGCGGAAACGTTTAGTCCATAGAACCCTCGCGCGAAACGCAGCGACGGGAATCGATGAGTTTCGCGGGTCTCTCGGCCAGCTCCGGGCTATCAACCCCTGTCGTACAGTGAGTTACTTCGGTGAGGTACTCGGTAGGCCGATTCGATGGTGCTCTCTCTCTCTCTCTCTCTCTCTCTCTCTCTCTCTCTCTCTCTCTCTCTCTCTCTCTCTCTCTCTCTCTCTCTCTCTCTCTCTCTCTCTGTTATCGTTGAAACGCGCACTGATGAGATGACAGTGTGTACGGTACTTACCGGAAATACCGTGTACGGAACCGCCAGCGGTGATATTGTTGAGCATGCCGCTCACGGGGAGCGTAGCTCCGATACAGCACGCGGAAGCGGAAATCCGCGCCACACCGCGAGCACCTCACCCCCGTGAGCTCGAGGAACCACGGAAAAATAAGGAAACTAGGACTGGCGGCGACGGACGCGCGAACGCACGGTCTCTCCGTGGATCAGAGTATATCAGAGTCTACAGGCGAGCCTGAGGAACGGCCCGTGCCCCAGGAAGGCAAACAGCCGACTGGCCGACTGCCATATGCGAACACCCCCACTCACGGCTGCTTTAGCGGGAGTGACGACGTCTCGCTCGTGTGTACGCTCTCACCAGCGGTCTCTCGTTCGCACTCCCGGCTCGCGAGGGTCCCTACTCCGTCGCGTTCTCCGCGTTGTGGGCGTGATATTAAATCGCTCCTATCCTTCAGGTACAGGTACTGAACCTGGAATCAGGAAGGTAGCTAGCCGTTCGTGGTACCTTCCTCCGAAATCGCGATCAAGATTTTCTTTTCTTTCGCTGCCGACGAGGAGGGCGAGGAGGGCACTAATTAGCTGCAGATTACCGAAAATTTGTCGCTCATTTGACAGTCGATGATGGCGCTTGACGACGATTGGAACGGCGATCGAGATGATGCGCAAATGTGAGTGTTGGTTGCTATCTCACGGTGAACCTAACCTAACCTAACCCTGAGCAATTCCCGGGGGGAAATTGTTGCTTTAGATTCAAGTTGCTTAAGATTCCTCCGTTTCCTTCGGGCGGAAGACTCGGTCGAATCCTCGTCAGAAATTATCCCTGACTAGCGCATCCCTTCCGCCGTCCTATATAACGGCGATCGCGAAGACGCGATACGCGTAACTGCGCGAACACGCGTCTGTCTGTAGGGTCACGCGAGTGCACGCTCCTCCAGGAGGACAGGAGCGACACGGTAAGCCGGGACCTCGGGCGCGAAAACGACGAAAGAAATCGGGGATGAAAAGAGGCGCCGGGCGCGTTATAAGGTGGCAGGCAGGTGGAGATGGACGGAGGAAACGACAAGAGAGGAAGAACCAGAACTCAGGCCCAGCGGGTACTACCATCGGATTTTCAGTCGCCGGGCCGCGGTGGTTGGCAGCTGTACGAGGGTTGCCTATATCCCGAGGTAAACTCTATCCAGGTTACCGTCTCTCTCTCCCTCTCCCTCTCTCTCGTTGTCTCCCTCGCCGTCTCCGCTTTGTGGTAGGCGGTAACCACCGCCAACGCAGCTCCAATGAGCGAGTTGCCCGCCCTCGGGATGCCCCACTAGTTTTCGCACGGCGGAGATTTATTGAAATTTTATTTTTATGGCCGGCAAGCGCGCGCTGGTGCGCGCCGCTCGCAGAGTCGCGGGGGTGAGAAGGGGTGTGCGAGCAGACGGCCGGCCGAAGGCGAAGAGAGAGCCCTCTTCTTCTCATTTCCTCCGCCTTTCTTCCACCCCCGCTCTCTTCATCCCCTTCTGCCGTCGCCCTCCCTCCTCGTCCCGGTCCCGTCAGTCTGTCTCCATCCCTGTCGTCCTTGCCGCTTCGCATCGCTACCCTTGTCGTCCTCTCTCGCCAATACTCTCTCCTCTCACCCTCGCACCCTCGTGCGCGCGCTGTCTCGCTCGCTCACTCGCGCCCGCGCTCTCTGGAATCGCGCTTGCTCGCGATCTCACTTTCTCATTGCGGCCCGCCTTATTCGCTACGTCCTTTTAATTCAATAGCTACCTCTTTTTATAACGCGGCAGCCTGTGCAGCGGGAACGGAAATCGCGGTAGAGCCTGACGCGCGCCGGCTGACTCGCACTGACCAGCACTGGCGATTTCGCGATGGCGTGCGATGCCGAAATCGCGAGCGCGCGGTTCTACCTCATTTGCGACCAGCGTAAAAGATACGTGATCCGCCAGCCGATCCACCTGCAGTCTTCATAATCACGGGATATCGTCGTATATATAGGATAGTTCGCGATATGTCAGATTCGCTCGCGACAAATCGATCCTTGGATCCTTGTGCATGTACACACACGCACTCACGCACCCTTGCAGAATATATCTCGCGCCGTCGCAGCCCGCGGTACTGCGATTTCACGAGAAATTGCGATCTCACGAGAAATGAAGCCCATCATTAATTCGCGCGGTAATGCATCACGGCTATATCGGACACACGTGTGTGGTCGATCGCGCTTGCACACAGCGCGTGACCGGCGCCAGATTCGAACGATCTTGGAGAATTTTCAGGAGCACCGAAGCGATGTTTCACGTCGCGCAGAACGGGCTGTCGCATTTAAAACTGCGCCTCGATTTTCCGGGAATACAGATACCATTTCGGTATCTATAATATTAAACGATTAATCTTCTCTCTCTCTCTCTCTCTCTCTCTCTCTCCCTCTCTCCCTCTCTCCCTCTGTCCCTCCCTCTCTCTCTCTCTCTCTCTCTCTCTCTCTCTCTCTCTCTCTCTCTCTCTCTCTCTCTCTCTCTCTGTATGTGTGTGTGCAATATGCGCTAGTTGCGTAAATACTTGCTGCAGTTCCATCGCAGTTGTCGCTATCGCACAAACGGATTTGGGCTACTGCTGCCGCTTTTAGTGCACTTAATTATTAACATCACACGAATTGGTGTATAGAGTATTCCACTCGCGCACCGTGTCGAATTTCGACGACGGATACTTTGACGAATTTCGAAGTCGCTCAGTTATTCGCACGAGCGTCATTTCGCAGCAATTGCCGTGCGCCGTTTGCATTAACAATTTGTAAATAACGGTCTTATCAAGGCGTTAAATCGATAGCGCGTTGCAGCTAGCTCGTTGCTCTAGCGCGACGGCTGTTGCTCGTAATATATAACACGGTGAAATTTCCAAATACGCCGTTCACTTGCCAAACTGTATTACTTGCGCGGAATGATGTCGAGGCTATACGAGAGCCACGTCGTCGTAGCTCGTTTTCACAAAAAGATCAGTCGCGAATCGAAAGGCGTCGTGTAAAGTGTGTAATTTCAGGAAGCTTAACTTTTTATGTAACTTCTTCCTTCTCTCATCTTCTCAACTGGGTCAATGTACATATTGCAGATCCGAGCGTGTTACTCCGACGCGCAGAAGCATGTGATTGGCTGAATTTTTTTTTACGTTTCTTTTTTTAACGTCTTAAATCACGTCATTTAATTCATATAGACATTACTTTGCACATAGAGACGTATCAAATTGACGCGATTCAAAACGACGAAGTAACATGCGAGTGAAAGCTTGCAGCCAACTGCACGCTTATAAGTGATCCAAGATAACACGCTTGGATTTACAATGCAACTGTCAATGACTGATTCAGCAACTCGGATATATAAATATAGCAGAGCGGCGCACAAAGCGGTGCCAATGAGAGACGCATCTGATGAGAGATATCGCGCGCTCCGGAGCACGGCGGAGTTATGAAAGCTGTAATAAGTTTACTTATTCCGTAACGCGCGATGTAAGTTCAGGTCGGACGTGCACAAACGAGACAAGTTGCGTCTCGCGCGAAAGGGGGACACGCAGGCAGATGTCGAAGATATTTAATAAACACGGTGCGCCGCCGTTCCAGACTTACACATTCCTCCGTTAATTTGGGAATAATTGACAACGGGTGGGTTAATATTTTCCACGTGTGTGCCTCGTGTCTTTTAATTAGCTACGTATCGCCGAAGGGAGATATACAACCCGCTTACCTACGACGGTAATCAACGTTCAATTTTTCATTTCCCTTCCAGCGACGTTCTCGGCGTATTCGTGCATAAAATATCCGTCGCGGTGGGTCTGAGAGACCGCGTCGGTCCGTGTGGTCTCTAAGCTGAGACGAACGGAATTTCAAGCGGTAGCCTTATTATGGGCGAAACGTACGTTTCCGATTTAGCGGAACGGTCGGTTTTATTTGGTTATTGTTATTAGCATACAAATTGTCTGCTCGTGCGATCGGCACGACGACGACGAGGAGGGGGACGCACAACGTGGCGTACAATAATGCATTCGCGCAACGCCGCTCTTCGCCGTTCTCCGAGCGTTCGGAAGGAAAACCACGAAATGGGCGGGGACACGATTTTTAATTACGCTTTTCAAATGACGCGTCGGCGACTGGTGCGGACTTATTTTTCATTCATTTGCGTCATATCCAACGCACTAATGAGCGCAGACTCGAGCGAGCGCTCGAAAACATCGTAGTCGGCATATGCAAATACACGGCTAATTGGATTAAAGATAATTAATGTCGCTGGACCGAGTATTCGATCACAGGCCGTCCCCGAGAAATTTCGACAATATTCGCTAACACAATATGAGCGATGTAACCTGTGTTACCTGTGTTAGTGGCGATGATCGTTGCATGTAATTACAAAAATACCGTGGAATCTCTGGCATAATGAAATAGATATCGTGCGGTATGCGCTGATCGCCCGTACGGAATTCTCAGTCGCGGCATACTTCAAATGTATCACCGTTTGCGGTTTTCATTTTCGATCATAGTTTGGACGACAAGATTGCTGCCGATCGGCATCGGCTCATTATTAACTGCGAATATCGTCGCAAGTTAATCCAACATTTTCCACATCGTACTTCCGTATCCACGTTCCGTGCGAATCTCGACTGTATTCCGAGGAATAGTCTCTTTTTAAATTACGGAACAGTTGGAACGCAGTTCGTTAGAATTCCAGGGATTTCTTTAGCAATATTTCACGGGAGGGGGATGTGTCATGCTGTTTCTGTAATAAACCGTTTTACATAAGATAATTATTAACGTTAAGCGTTATTACCGTAATCAGCCCTCTCGTCTAGCTAACGAATATAATAGGCGAGTACTTAATTATACACATCTCTCTTGCTCTCTTTCTCTCTCTCTCTCTCTCTCTCTCTCTCTCTCTCTCTCTGCAAAGTAACAGATATATATAAGTTTATTCGATGTCAAATCAAAGAATAAAAACGGGTGTAGATATTGAATGGTCGATAATGTCGTCGAACGACATTACTCATTCGTAGCCGTGTGAAATAAAAAGCTCCATGTAAAAAATGAATTCAATGTTGATAAGAATAGTCTCGATTGGAATCGTTGTGTGAAATTGTCGAAAGTCGTCGGCGACAATAATATGCGCGGTCCGATACGCCAGCGTGGTTGACAGAAATTCAACAAAGCGACTATTTTTTGGCGCATTGTTAGGGAACGGGGAAATGACGTCTACAGCACTCGTAAACCGAAAATGTATTCGGTAGGCAGGTATGTGCTCTCTCTCTCTCTCTCTCTCTCTCTCTCTCTCTCTCTCTCTCCTGCACGATCGATTTTAAACAGACGAGACGAACAGCGGCAAATTGA